GTTTGTTAGGCAGCAGGAAATAATTGATACCCATGGCTCAGAGATTCAGTGGGCCGCGCAGGTCACACAGCTCTGGGGGAGCTCAGGAATGGATGGGCTGGTGGCCACACGCAGGGCAGGCTGTGCCTGTGGCAGCCAGTATTCACCTGGGGTCCCTTAAGGGCGGGGAGGCAGGTGGGAGGCCAGAGCGGGGCAGAGGGTGCACGCAGCAGCTCCCCGTCAGCGCCCTACTGAGCACCTTTCCTCCCTTCAACGCCTCCATCTGCCACCTGAAAAATGGGGATGATGTCACTACAGCTGTATGTCGGGGACTGGAACACACAGCTTTTGCCCTCCTGGTCCGCGTGTCCACCATGCCCCCAACAAGGGGAGAGAACCTGGCAGCTGGTCATAAAAATACAGCACCCAGGGAGGACAAAGTGCTGTGTGGTCCCAGCCCAGGGAGGCTGACCCGGACTTAGGGTGACCACTAAGGCTCCTGGAGAAAGCTGGGTCTTTAAGGATGAGGAGGAGTCACACGGTGCAGTGGGCACAAGAGGAGTGCATCAAGCTGGGCCGTGACCTGTGTGAAGGCAGAGCCACAACACTGCGCCTGGCAGCAGCTGAGGAGTTTGTCCTACAGAAGCCTGAGGTGTAAGTGGAGGCTGTGACCTGAGATGGCAATGGGGACATGTCAGTGAGACCCAACTGGGCCTCCATGGCTGTGTGAACCTTTAACTTAATTCTGGAGGTGATGGGTAGTGCACCAGTCAGCTACTGCTGCGACAGTGCTGCATAACAACTATCCCCAAGCACAGTGGCTTCAAACAACAGTCACTGATTGTCAACTGGGAGTGGGCTGATTTATGATGGACCAGCTGGACTTACTTAGAGACCCATGGTTCCCTGGGTCTCTCTGCTTCCTGGAATCAGTGGGCTGCGGGGGCATGTTCCTCTCCTGGAGGTGCAGAAGCACAGAGGGCCATTCCCCTTGGCCAGGTATATTGCAAACCTTCCCTTGCTTCACTTTTGCCACCTCCTAGTGGATGACAAAGATCCCATGGCCATTCTCACCAGCCGTGGGACAAGGCAGCTTGCTCCGCCCCCAGTCAAGGAGGGTGTGTGGGAGGAATAATTCCTGCTTACTGAAGTGATTTGCAACTCCAAGCACATGCTCCCCTGCGTCTGGAGAAGTGGTGGGGACAGTGACGGAGGGTGTGGCAGGCATCTCTGTGGCCGTGGCCTGGGCAAACAATATCTCATTAAAACACAAAGCCCATGCCTGGTGGGTATTATTCTATTAAAAGGATGAGTAGACAGATGAAAATAGACTATATGACTTGCCCAACCAAGTGGTTAATGGAGGTGGAGCCATAATGTCCCTGAGCAGAGCAGAGGGACTGTTACTGGGGTGCCCCTCCATGTGTCCCTGCTGCCTGCTCACCTACACGGGGGCCAAGGAGCAGCATCCGGCAATGCCACCCCCATCACCCCAAGGGCTCATGGGACTCTGGCTCCAGAGCAGACAGCCCTGTCCCTGCTCATGGGCAGGAAGTGTCACTGGCCAGCAGCTCCTGGGACAGTGCCTTCACCTGGCGCTGGCCGGTGCCTGCTGGTGGGTGTGGGTGCGCCTCCTCTCCTCCCTCCCTGGCTCCTTCTCCCTCCTCCCTGGGCCAGTGAGCTCTCTAAGGGGCAGTGACAGCCACCTCTCTCCCCTGCTTCCAGACAATCATCTAGATGACAATTCCTGCAGTCATGAAGCCTGAGCGGGCGGATCTATAACCAAAGCCCCGCCTCCCGCACGCCTCCGCTGCGCTGCCCCACAGGGAGCCCCCTTCCCGTTTCCTGGTACTTCCCTCTGAATCACTTTCCCTGCAGCACGTGGAAGTGAATGCAGGTCCTCGCCGCCCGATTCTTTATGCACGTGAACCAGCATATTTCACAGTTTGGGGACCTTCCTCCCCATCAACACGTCTCGGCAATTCCCCCACACTGGCCCAGGAAGTCCCCAGCTCTTCCCTCGCAGCCAGAGCGTCCAGCTGTCCGGGTGGACTGGCTCCAATCCACTTCATGGGCCCTCGTGCTGATGGATGTTGGAGCTCCAGTCCCCAACATCCCGGCAGGTCTTAGAGGGGAACTTGGACACAGGGGCAGTGTAAGCTTATCGGCAGGAAGATTCTTGAATGGGGACTGTGTGGTGTGACTTTGAGTCACTGCAGGTCACCCTCCCTGCCTGCCACGCGCGCGCCACTGGCAGTCCCCCAGCTGCACGCCGAGCTTCGACCCTTCCCGCTTGGACAGGCAGGAGATGGGCTTCTGCTTTCAAATCTCCTTCGCCGTAGCCCTGTTCCCCTCGAGATAAAGCCCGGCTTCCCTGGGAGGATGTGGGAGTGGGTACGATCCTTCTCAAGGCTCCTTGTCCACTCAGGAGGGGGACAGGGACACCAGGGACACAGCTCATCTCTGGCTCCAGCCCCCTCAGCAGTGAAACAGGGCAAAGGGACTGCTGGAGCACACTGAAGAGGCCCAGGACACACAGGACCAGCGGGGAAGGTGCCCCACAGAAGCTGCCCCCCCACGGCAGTGAAACAGGGCAAAGGGACTGCTGGAGCACACTGAAGAGGCCCAGGACACACAGGGCCAGCGGGGAAGGTGCCCCATAGAAGCTGCCCCCCCACGGCCTGTCCCCCAGGTGAGGGGCCTGCTCCCCTGGGCTTCCCGCCTGCCCCTGGCCCTCCCCGTGCTGCGCGGGTGGATGAGGAGGGGCCCGTGTGCTTGGCGGAGCTCATCAAGATCACGGCCCGCGTGGGCGGCCCAGGAAGGTCGGGCTCTTTTCATGGGCGCTAGTGCCTCGGGGACCCCGTGGTGGCAACAGTCACGAACAGGATGAGGGGATTTACTTGTAGGAAAGTAGGCAGCCAGCTGGGCGGCTGGAGTTCCCTCCCCAGCCTTGTCCCGGGCCCTGCGCTGGGAAGGAGATCAGCGCCAGCTGGGAGTGGGATCGGGACGGACTGGTCACTACCCGGAGCTGGAGGGGCGAGGACAGGCAAATCAGGAGGGGAAGCAGATCTACGTCAAGGGCCATCGCAGAAGTCAGCGAGCCGTGTGCACAGCCCTACCACCTCGGGGGAGTCACAGTGACACAGGGTCTGGTCTCCTTCATCCTGACCTGCCTGTCCCGCCCCTGCCACTCTAGAAGGGTAGAGGCCGAGGGGAAGAAAGAGGAGCTGTTCCTTAAAAGTGGGCCGGGTGGGTGCAGAGAAGCACACCTGGAATCCCAGGCACCAGGGGGCCGAGGAGGATCACCAGTTCAAGGCCAGCCTGGGCACTTAGAGAAACTGTCCCCTGGGGAAAACAAAAGGCTGGTGGTGTAGGGACAGGCTCAATGGTAGATGTCCCCGGATTCAATCTCCATCACACACACACACACACATACACACACACACACACGAGTAAATGGGCCCAGTGGGGACTCTGAAAGGACGTCATGTGGGCGGCATGAAAATGATATGCAAATGGCCCATGTCCACATTAAATCCAGGTTCTTGGGAAGGGCCAGTGTCCAGCTGTGGGAGACTGGTCTTCTAAGCACCTTTTGGGGCATCCGGTCAATGTGCCAACTCTGCCCCTCCCCAACTGGTCCCAAGATGCACCAGTCCCCACAGCATGGTCATCTGGAAGGTGACCGTCTCTGGAAGCGTGGCCCCGACACAGGGGCTGCCAGAGGTCCTGGGTCAGAGCCCAGCCTGAACCATGAGCAGCCCCTTTGGGGCCTTGTGCTCCGGGTGAGTCCCTCCCCCTCAGCCCAGCATTCCCGGCCGAGACCTCCAGCTGGACAGACACCAGAGCGTGAAGCCCTGTAGAAGTGCAGGGCCTCCCTCCAGGTTCCAAGGACAGGCCTCTGACCTCCCTGTAGACATCACTGGCCTTGTGACAAGTGTGATGAGAAGCGGTGCACACCCTGGGGACAGGCTGGCTGGGCTCGACAGGAGCTTGTCATTCACGACCCAGGCAGGGGGTCTCTCAGAGCCCTGGTGTCCCAGTGTGTAAAATGGGCACAACCAGGACCCACCCGCCAAGGCCAGCAAATGAGCCACGAGCCCTGTTACACACACACTGTCCCCGAGTCACGTTGGAGGCCTGACCCTGGTACCTGTGATGTGAGCTTATCAGAAACAGGGTCTTTGATCAAGTGGAGTCATCAGGGTGGGCCAGGCCAGTGTGACAGGTGTCCTTACAGAAGGGACATGATGGAACAGACACGGAGAGAAAGGGTGGCCCTGGGAAGGCAGGCGGGGACTAGTGACCACCTGCAAGTGTGGGCGCCACAGAGGCCGGCAACCAGCAGAAGCTGGCGGGGCCCACCCTCCCTGGGCCCCCAGAAGGCCCCCTGCCGACACCGTGATTCTGGATGAGCCTCCTCCTGCTTCAAGCCACAGGTTGGTGCTGCCGCGACGGCCACAAGACTCAGCCCAGCCCAGAAACGCGCTGCTGGTGTCACCCGCCAGCCAGTGCTGCTAGCTGCTCTCTCTCCGCCATGGGTGGCCGCTCTGAAGGCCCGACACTCCCTCATCTAACATGGAGCACTGGGCCACCCAGGTGGGGCACAGAGGTGTCCAAGGGTCTTGCACCCTCAGCCTCCCAGTTACGCTGGTGGTGACCAGGGGAGCTGGCTTCCTCTCACCACCAGGATCAATGGATCAGCTCAGTGTACCCCCAGCTTCATAAAGCCCAGGGGACACCGACCCCAGGAAAAGGCCTGTGTGCCACTCCACCGGGCGTTGGAAGTGCTCGGACCCTCCCCAGTGTGGGGCCTGGGGGCCCAGGAGGACAAACAGCCCAGAGCTCTCTTGCCACAGCGGAGGCCCCAGAGCGCTCTGTGACTTGTTCCCAGGAGGGTGCGACGTCCTCCACCCACCCCGGTCTCTGTCCAGGTCCGGGGTGGCACTGGACCTGGCTGGCTGCATGGGAACACTGTTATTTCAATTTGAAGAATATCATGCAGTCAGCGAGGCTTAAAATGCTCGTGTCAATAGCGGCTCCGCGGCTCCATCTCACTTTAATAGAACCATCTGCCAAGAGGCAGCGCAGGCACGGCCAGCTCCTCCCACTGAGGCCGCCCACCAAGACATCCACTCTTGGTGCCAAGTTGGGGAGGTGGGCTTGGACTTGGGGGAGTCTGTGCTGGGCCCAAAGCCCCAGAGGAGAGTCTTGGAGGAGCCAAGAGGCCAGGGCTGGGGTAGGACATGCACAACCCAGGCCAGGCCCCTCTGTCCCCCATGGCGAGGACCACAGGGTCATCTGGCACTGGCCCCATAGAGCTGTGAGGAGGGGAGGCCAGGGGAGTGGAACCCGTGCTCCTCCTGCAAGGCTCAGGGAGGCCCCGGGAGGCAGCCCTGGCTGTGCCCTGACCAGCCACAGGGCAGCCGCTTTGCCTCTGGGCCTCTCAGCTCCACATTGTAGAAAGGGGGCCACAAGCAGCCCTGGGAGGCTGTGAGCACTGAGGCAGTGTGAAGGACACTCTAGAAACAGCCCGGCCCGTGGTGACCAGGCCCGGGAGGAGGGCTGGCCCCTGCCATGCAGCACAGCCCAGAGAGCCGGCTGCATTGGCTGGGTGCAGTGGCCAGCTTCGTCCTCGGCTTGGGCTCTGGCAGGGCTAAAGGCAGTGTGGTCCACACCGTGTGGACATCTGCTTGGCCAGGCCGAGGACTGGAAGTAGCTGGAGCGAGGCTGGGGGACAAGGAGCCTCTGGGGTCGCAGAGTGCAGTTGGTCCCCACGGGCCAGGGCAAGGTGCTCGAGTCAGGCACAGGTGCAGGGCTATAGGGCAGCCCCGCTGGGCAGAGGGATCTTATAGCCACTGCGCAGGAGCACAAGGCAGGTGCCCAGCCCCAGGGCCCCCGCCAACAGGACAGCACCCAGGGCCTTGAGGAAGGAAGTCCTGGTCCGGGTGAAGGAGCCGGGGGCCATGATGCCCAGCAAGGCGGTGCTGACGGTGAGCGTGTACAGGATGGACACGCCCGTGTTGAGCGCCACGATCTTGCCGAATTTGGCGAACGGGGCGATGATGCAGAAGAACAGGGGCACGGTGGCGATGACCGTGGTGAGAGCGCTGGACACGATGGCCACACCCACGTGCCGCACGGCCTCCAACGTCCGCCACTGGCGCTGCGAGCGGGCATCCTGGGGCAGCAGAGAGAGAGGTCGGGCCGAGCACCCGCTGGGGACCTGCCCCACCACCTGGGGGGGTCCCAGCAGCAGGGCATCCTGGGCACAGGGGCACTCAGGGTGGCTGGGGCACTGGGACAGTAAGGTTGGCAGACTAGGTCCTGGGCAGTGGGCACCGGATTGCAATCTTTCCTCTTTTGACCCAAAGTAGTGGATGCACAATGGGGTTAGTTTTACGTATGAGTGTCTTCACACTACACAATCCCAGACTAGGAGAAAACAAACCCCAAAACCGTCACAAGGCTCATGGTCCTGGCTCCCAGTGCCCAGGGCAGAGGGCCAGAGGCAGGGCGTGGCCTCGAGGTCCTGGCTACATGCCCTGCTCCCAGGCTCAGGTCCTGGGGTGCCAGCTATGCCGGGGCCTCTGGGCACCACGGTGGGGAGGAGGAGGGCAAGAGGCTGCTCACCTCAGCCTGGTGGGGGGGCAGGTTCTCTCCGGCCAGCAGGTAGCCCTCCACCAGATGGACGCAGTAATCCACGGAGGAGCCCACCAGGATGGACAGGGAGATGGCTTCCACCGCGCCCATTTCCCAGCCACTCCAGTACATGATGGTCACCACCAGGCACACGATGCCTGTGACAGGGGCAGCAAGGTGGGCAGCTGGGACCTGCCCTGCCCACATGGCCCTGGAGGACCCTCAGGGAATAGGGAAGTCTTGGGTGACAGGTGGACAAGGCCAGGGTCAGAGGGGGACACCAGAGGGTGCAGGTACAGCAACATGTCCCTGAGCCAAATGCTAACACAGGGGCCACCTGGCTCCTCTTGGGCACAGACTTGTGGGGAGACAGTCCCATGAGCCACCAAGGAGAGGGTCTTCTGTTTGGGCTGGGGGTATCGTGAAGCCGTCACTGGGGACACATGACTGAGGCTCAGAGAAGCTTGCTGGCTTCAGGCCACCAGGAGACCCTGCCTGCTCCGGTCCCTGTGGGCTGGGCCCGTGGCCACCTACCTAGGATGCTCAGGAGCACAGGCAGCAGCAGCAGGATGTGGGTGGTGAACACGGCCACCGCGGCCACGCAGATGAGCAGGGACAGGGCCAGGCCGTACAGGGCGCTCTGCACCCCTGGAGGTCAGGAAAAGGGCCTCAGCGGCCGTGCAGTGAGGGGCAGGGACCCCCACCCCCACCCCGAGTTCCCTAAGCCTGTGACCTTCCCGAGCTGAGGTGACAGTGGCCTGCCACAGGTGGGAACTGCTCTGGAGTCCATGAGCTCACGCTCCAGGTCTCAGCACAGGCCTGGCCCCTAGAGAGGGCTCACAACTGACAGCTGCCAGTGGACAGGACTGCTACGTTGTAGGTGGCCAGATCCCCCAAGCAGGAGGGGACCACACTCTGGCCTGAGGTCAGCAGCCCAGCACCAGCTCATCTGTTCTGCCAGGACTCTGGGCCTGGCTGAGGACGGCAAGACTGTGGCCTGGACAGGACAGGTGCCCCACTGCCCAGGACGACCCCTGAAGGCCCCTGCCCGCACCTATGATCTCCATGAAGATCTGCTTCCAGTGCTCGCAGGTCTGGAAGCCACGGCGCAGGGCCGAGCCCTCCGGGAAGCTCTGCAGCTGCTGCCGGAGGAAGCCCTCCCAGCGCAGGTAGTCGGAGTGGGTCTGGAAGGAGGACTTGCCCTTGTACGTGGTCTGTGGGGACACGGCTCGTGGGACAGTGGCAGGACCTGCTTACCCCTCCCAGAGGTGGCCGCCGTGCTCAGTGGCCTCCGGAGTGTGTTGTGTAGGGGTGAACGATGGACGGCCTGGTCCCAAATGAGCTCCCACCAGCCGCAGGACATGGCGCGGTTCAGGGCAACGTGTCCCCGCCCCTTCCTCCAGGACCATCTTCTCTCGAGGAGCCTCTGCGTGAGGCCCCTGCAGGCGCTGCCCTCTCCCCTCGGCCATGCCAGGGCCCGACTCCCCTGGGAAGCCTCCCGATGCCCACGATGGGCCTTCTTGGGCTCCCAAGTCCCCGCGGTTCCCATCGCAGCTGCGTCACTGTCCGCAGGCTGCTGGTCTCCGGGCTGGGCTGTCTGTGGGGGCAGGAGCAGCCACGTGGCCAGCAGTGGCCAGCTGAGGGGCGCGCCCGGGGTGGTGAGGAAAGAAGGAAAGAAAGGGCCCCTGCTCTGGAACTTCCCTGTCACCTCACGACCCAGTCATGACCCAGGCCTGCTCACTGCACGAACCAGCCTGCGCTCTGTGTGTGTGTGTGTGTGTGTGTGTGTGTGTGTGTGTGTGCGTGTGCAAGAACCTCTGCGGGCAGAGCCACATGTCCCGGGGTGACAGAAGCAGGGGAGACATGGGTGGCTGGTTCCCTGGCCTCTAAGCTCTTTCTGGGCCACGTGGAGGGTCCAACACCTGGCTGTGGCCCTGACCTTGGCCTCCCACCGAGGCAGAGGGAACACGAGAGAAGTGTGTCCAGTGCACTCAGCAACGGCAAGTGACATGACCCTGGCTGGTGAGCAGGAGGGCGGACAGCTGCCGCAGCCCAGGGGCAGAGGAGGCTCTGAG